GTGGTGGTAACCCCCCCCTCCTCCCCCCCCCCCCCTCTACTCTGGTTGTGGTATGTCCCTCAGCGTCCTTACGTCCAATGCAAGTCAGTAGACTTGTATAAAGCCCGTGACGCACTGCATGCAGAGCGTGTGAGCTGAGTGCAGCCAGATGAATGACTGCAACTTCAGCCAATCTGCTCGCGCGTAACAACTGGATGGAGTCTGCATCGTGACGCGCGGGTTTATACGCGCGGGCTAATTGGCTGAAGATGACATTTTTCATCTCGGCACACTCAACTATGCGAGCTCTCGCAAGCTGACGCGCCGCAGATAAAATTACATGACACACTGCAAGCGAAGGCAGCGCCCCACCGCTCTGCACTGCTTCGCGTGCACTGTGTCACAGTCTTTAGACATCAGGACATCAGCAGTACTTAGACCGTCAGAGCCTGGGGGGAGAAGCAGCTGCAGGGACCGGTCTAGCAGCCAGACGGGACTGAGGATAGGGTGAGTATATCTTTTTTTATTTTAGACCCTAGACCAAAACAAGCAGTTAACCCTTGCAGAGAGAGGGTAGCCCCACTGCAAGGGTTAATTTTTAAAATGCCCAAAGTTCTTCTAGAATACTCCATCCACATCTACTGAACTAAACTCACTAGTCTCATATTTTATCATAAATAATGTCATTGATTGAAATATCAGTGCTGTAATGTTTTCATGCTCTGGATATATGGTTATATATATTTTGATTATCTTTTGCAGGTTTAGATTGCAGGGGGATACGCTAAGATTTATATGAAGGAACCTTCTAATTGTTCTGTATTTTTTGAAGCTGGGATATTTCATCATTTTTGTTTTGTTTTGTAGATTTTGTTTTGAGGTGTGCATTCCTTATTGTGCTATCACATTTACTGGCCTTTATATATTATTTAACATCACGGGAAATAATGTGTCTCAGCAGGTAAAGCGGTTGATTTGTAGCTGTTCACTTAAAGAAGAACGACAGAATTCTACAAAATGAACCTTTGCAGTGGGGCTACCCCTGCACTGCAAGGGTTAAGTGCTCATTTTGGTCCAGGGACAAAAATAAAGAAGAAATACTTACCCGATCCTCTGTCCTGAGGCATTGATCGCTTACCTCTCTCCCCCATCGCCAAACTGTGGTATGCCTCTCGGCATCCCCACATCTAATGGACCTATATTAGATGTGATGATGTCATGGATCCTTAGACCACCAGAGCCCGGGGTAGAGGAGGCTGTGGGGAACCAGTCTAACAGCTAGGTGGGATCGAGGATCAGGTGAGTATATCTTTTTTTTTTCACCTTTAGACAAATCAGCACTTAACCCTTGCTGTGCAGGAGTATCCCCATGGCAAGAGTTAATTTAAAAAAATCCTGGAGCTATTTAACAAAGTCAATGTTCCCTTATCTCAGTAAATAAGGTGATTATGTGTTCAAAAGAAAAGGATTATTGTTTGCACATACTGTATTTTTCCATGTTTAAGACTATACTTTCTCTTAAAAATATTTACCTAAAAATGGAGGGGCGTCTTATACACGGGGGGCAGAGAGGAGAACAGCGGTTGCAAAACTGCCGATACCTCTGCAAACTAGCCTCACGAGTGAAACTTCCGATTGCAGAGACAAGCTAACAGGTTTCCTCCAATCATGAGCCTTATGTACCCGACATCAGCTGATGCTGCGTAGAGCGTGTAGCCTGTGCCCAGATGCAACAGGGAGCCCATAAAAATGTCAGAAAACAAAAAAAAATACCGGTACCAGTAAGCGGCTGTCTTACTCTGCAAAATTTAAACTGGATGTAATCAGTTATGCAAAAGAGCATGGAAAATATTGATTTCTGAATTTTGGGTAAGAAAAGTGGGGGGCGTCCTATACATGGGGGCGTCTTATAGACGGAAAAATACGGTAATTGTATGACTGAAGTGAACATAGATTCACCTTATTCATTGAGGTAAGTGAATGAATGGTCACTTTGCTAGCTAAACCATCTCTATACCTTTAGTAAATAACCCCCAGAGAATAAATGCTCTTATTGGAAGCTTCTTGCACATGCATTTTGCAACAAATCCCCTTTACATATTGCCACCTACAGGCACTTTTCATTTATTTTGTTCTACTTGCAGATATTTAAAGAAAAGCAGACAGAATTGTATTTTCAGCACTGAAATTATCTCCACATTTTTAAAACACGGTTAAGTTTCATTTTTTTTTTTAATGTTTGGTGACCCTGAAAATGTGTTGAAGGTTATTTTTATCGTTGAAATTTGGAAACTTAATGCTTTGTTTTAAATGAAATGTTGAAAAAAATGTATTACAATATATTTTAAAGGCTAATTTTGTGTTTATTGTTTGCTGAAGGGATCACACAAACTGACACATGATATAAAGGAAATGATTATTGATTTTATTAGGAGCAAAATCAAATTGCTACATTTTAAATATTCTTGAAAGTAGTTGCAGACTGTCGTAGCTTCAAACTCCTTTATTTGGCTGTAGGGGTAACTCAGTGATAACACTTGGCCAGGGCATTACCAATAGAATGAAATGCTGACTGGAGAGCACACTGCACTTCTGGGGTGAACTCCTGATGGAACTGTAGAGCCAAGGTAATAATCAGCACATCCCCAAAGCGCTGAAAAAGAATACAGATGTTGTTTTAGTAATACAATTTTAGCAGCCAGAAATCATATTTCAATAATCTGACAAGAATACATTTAGATTGTATTGCCCACTCTAGGTTAATCCACTAATGTGGTTACTATTGCAACTGCCTCATTAATGCCTCATGAATACTTAAAATAAAGTATATATTTAACAATGGATATGTGCAAAAATATTTACTAATTATATAAAGATTGCTCAAAATCTGTATGCAGTTATTATGAATGTTGGAAAAATATTTTTAATCAGTTAAATCCATATGTGAAAAAATAACTGTAAAATACTTACATAAAAGTTAGCTGGATCCACATGAAGTTTTTCAGAGTGGTACTGGCTCAGCTTGGCAAAGTGTGGCTTGAGGTTGTCCAGATGTTTCAAGCCTTCTGTTATGGCAGCTAACACCTTCTCACCATGAGCAATCACCTTGGAATTGTGGCTGATGGCGTCAACAGAGCCCAGGTTTACTCTATTCATGAAAATAAATCATGTTAAAGTATTTTAAATTATTTAATTGCTGTTAAATACCTGGTAAGAGCTTCTCCTCCTATTTTCTTTGTATCTACTTTGGGCCAAAAAGCATTAATGATTTCTGAGGAGTGGCCCATGGTAGATGCTGTAGATGTGCTTGTTAAGGTTCTGAGTATAGAATCTGGTGCTTTCTCCTGCGATTCTCTGAGTTTATATATGTTACATGTGGCCCTTCCTATTCCTGTGCTGATTATCTATTGGCTACAGTGAAACACACTTATCTGGAAACTCTCCTCCTCCAACACCTTACCATCCCTCCCAAATGAAATTCATATGAAAATAACTGTTTTATAAAAAATAATAAATATATATATATTTTATTAAAGTTTCTGAAATGCATACCCAGTTATAACATGTGTGAAAGAGTATTAATTAAAAATATTTGAAACACAAACCACATGTAAATATAGCACACTATGTGATTTAACTGTATCTAACTGTAAATTCATTAAAGTTAATATATCTCTACGGATCATATATAAATGCTACTAATGTGTATACTGTTAAGTGTTAAGCAATTTAATTAGTAAAACCATTGTGTTACTTATTTTCAGGAATGTATAACACATTTTTTGTTGTAAATTGTAATGCATGTAAAGGAATGTAGTCATTGAGTTTATTGATGAAGTTCGGTATTTATACATGATTTGATAATGTTTGCAATTTTCCACATTAAAAATATTTCTTCTTGTGAGAAGCAAAGTTTTCCACAGTTATTAGATAGGTTTTTCTTATTTCATCTGTACATGATTGGCTATTCAAAGTGAACAGGAATTTGCCTATTACATGATTGGATAATTAAATCCAATTATCTAATCATTTGATTGGATAAGTGAATATTTACACAATGTATTGTGTGAAGATTATAAACTTCTTTAGTAAATCAGCCTCCCCCAATAGGTGTTTCTGACCTGCAGTTTTAGGGGCATAGTATTAAAGCAGTGAATGTAAACATTCAATAAACATTTACTGCAGGTAAAACATTTGCCTACACTGAATGTTTGGTGAAGGTCACATTCACTGCTTTATTAATATGCCCCTCAAAGTGACACCTTACGATTATCTGACGAAACTTTTTCGTCTGATGATCGAATAGTCGTACGACTTTCGTACGACAGCCCCATCCTGCCCCGATGATCGCAAGATTAATTTAGCCGTAATTAACGAAAAGCACCTGGACGAAATGCGGTAATTGATTTGCTGCCGTATTTTCGTTAGCGCAAGCACAGTGTAGATCGTACGACTTTTGACGGACGGAAACGCCAGCAACCTTACAAAAGTCGTACGCTCTAGCAAAGTTTTCAAGCATTCTTGACCGTCAAAAGTCGTACGATTGTACAGTACTGTCGGTCGGACACTGCAATGCACACATACGATTATCAGACGAAAAGTCGATCGCATACAAAAATCATCCGATAATCGTAAGGTGTATGGGCACCTGAAGAAAGATGCCTACTGTACATGAGATGAAGTTATTGTTCAGAAGGAAGGACAGAAGGAAATGAGTGCAATATATTAGTGAATATATATGCATATTTCTTTACACTGAAGCAAGCAGTCACCGGATTACATTTTACAGCTTTATGCATAGATGATGGTATCGTGTACAGGTGTAATCAGATGCTAAGGGGTTATTTACTAATGTTTTGCTAGAGCCTCCGTTTGTGTTCTCTTCCAGTAGTAAATCAGGATAACTGGAGAAGAAGAGAATAGGAACAGCTGAAAACACCAGTTTGGTTTTTCTTCCCAGCCTTTAACTCTTTCACTGCAAGAGCATTTTTTGCACAGGTGATATAATCCAATTTTTAGGCCTTACAATTATTTTAAAAACCTCAAAATTATATGTATCTTGAAAGCACAGACCCTGTAGAATAAAGTGGTGGCAGTTGAAACTTTTTATGATACGTGATATTGGTGCAACTCTTTATCTACATTTCAGTAAAAAATACACTTAAGTTAATTTCAGTACACAAAAGCACAATATAATATCCATGTTTTTTTAATAAACTATGAAAAAATCAGTTTTGCCAAATAAATAGATACCAAGCATGCCAAACTCAAATATTGCATGTGCTGTGGTGAGAAAATAGAGTACCGCAAATTTTCCATAGGCAATGCTTTAACCACTTTCAGCGGGTTCACGTAAATGTACGTCCTCCGCTGGAAGTGGTTATACCAAGAATAAGGCTGCTGCTGCAGCCGTGTTCTTGGTACCGTTTTAAACAGCCGACAATTGCTGTTTAAATACAAGTGATCCGGTGCCTATACGGATCGCTTTTACAGTGCAGCACCATTAATTTTACAGGGCCTCTGCGTTCAGAAAATATATAATTGTTTGGGGGTCTGAAGCTGTTTTCTAGCCAAAAATTCTAATTTTATCATGTGTGTGCAAATGTAAGAAATTGCTCCAGGCAGCGAGTGGTTAAAAGCTCATACAGGTCATCAGTTTAGAGTTACCCATAAATATTGGTGCGTAGATGGGGGACTATACAAGTTGTGGGGGTGTTTTTAAATGTATTTAATTCAACTTTTTATTTAAAAAAATATTTTTTTTCTTAACTTCCTTTTTACAGAGCACTGGATGCCACTGCAGATCTCTGCTGTGTGGGGACCTGAATAGCAATGTCATACAGGTCCCCACACAGCAGTACAATGTCATTGTACACTCCACATAAAGTTGAAAAAATTTAAAAATTGACAGCCCTTAGTCTATGAGACTTGTCTGGTAAGATATTTTCTGCATGGAAGAGCCACGCAAAACATATCTGCAAGCTCATTACGGAATGCATACCTGAAATATATACCAAATATTTCCCTTAACTAGAGGCAATGTAAAATAAAGTGTGGTCTGATGAAACAAAACAATATCAATGGTATTTTGGAGAAAAAAAAGATAAGCTGTTGCAGAAAAGTGAACCTTGCCCACTGTTATGCATAGAGTGGTTTTAGATGGGGCAACAAATGGCACAGGAGATATTACTGTATGTTGGTAAAGGAAATAATCATTCAGCATAATATTTTTTTTTCAATTTTAAACATGTCATGTTTAAATTTGTTCCTTGCAGAAGGGGTGTTTTTTTCTTTACTTCTGTATTCTGCAATGGATAAGCAGCTCTCACAAAACAGAGGGGCTCCCAGAGTCACATTTAAGCAAGATATGTTTGTTTATTCAGTGCATTTTAAGGGCCCAAACCTTTCCCCTCCATCAGGGCTAAAATATCAAAATTATAAAAGATTTATAAAAACAAAAACTTATGTATAATTCTCTGTAGTTATTGCTGTGTGTGTGGGGAGATTTACTCTCTGTGTTTGTACAGGTGACCATTGTCCCTGGGAGTAGAACTGAGGGAAAATTAAAAGTTTTTGTGTTGTCACAGCAAAAAAAAGGTGAGGGGGGATTTTGTAATGGGCACACCTATCCCGATGACAACTAAAAGGGGAGTTCCCCTAATTTGCCTCCTACTTTCTGTTGTGTCTCTGGGACAGTATGTAAAGGGGATCTCTCTGATGGAACACAGATAAAAAGAAATAAAACTTATATAGTGCACTTATTCATTTTTTGGTAAATGATTTATTTTTCAAAAACAAGAAAATATGTTAACATGATGTAAGAGCAAAGTATCATGCAAGTTTCCCTTAGGTCACAGAGTAGATCCAATATGCATCATGATCACTTATTCTTTTTGCCCCCCTTCCTTGACCTAAACAATCACACCCTCACCCTCTGTAGATCTTTTACTCAGCTGCTCCCCTGTTTGTTGACATCTGGCGCTACAAGTTTCCCTCTCCTGGCCACATCTATCTCCTATGTGGGAGATGGTCCCATAAAGTCTGTAGCTGTAATGTACGAGGGGAGGCCAATAAGTTCTTACCCTCACCATCTCACCCTCTGAAATTCTGCAGATGTGGCAAGCAAAGAGAGCATTGCAGCACTGGATCTAAACAATAGCATAACCATGCTCGTCAGATCTTGGTAAATACGGATCACTGGTGGGGGAGGGTGGGATAGTTTAGGACAGAGATGGGGGTAAAAAGTATAAGTGCCCTTAGTTTTAAAATGCACCTATCCTTTCACCATTATCTTTCACCATTATCTTGCTATCAAATACTAAAAAAATTGCTTACATTTAAACACGTTTAATCCCCAGTCTTCCGCATTCTTGTCCTCCTTGCATTTGTGAGAGTCCAAGCAAGACAAAAACATATATCATTTCATATTACATAATCCTGTATAACTTTTCTTTCTGGTGTGTGGTTGGGTATAAAGTGCAAAGTATGCCTTACATACTTAGATTAAGTTTTTAGGGCATACCTCATACACTCAAGACCTGCCAATAATTACATTTATACATTTTGAAACATATGTTTTTTTTATCTTATTTATTACACAAGCACACACATCTTTGTTTTACTTTCAAATTTCTAGCCAAATCTTTAAAAATACAATCAAGCTTGGCTTGGCCTTTACAAGAAACCTGTATTGAGAAAAAAAATGGTAGATAGCAATTCTGATCATTTAAAAAATACTCTAAAGATTCACAAAGCTGAAAATGACTGTAAACAACAAACCTAGACTAGCATTCCAATAGGCCCCTCTGGCTTTCTGCTGCCTATTCTATCATTATAATCCACCATTGGTTTCCGGGACAATACTTTCAGTCTAAGATAATCCTGTAAACTATTATAAAGCAGTAAGCTTATGTTTTTGTAATAGAATGTCGAAAAACAAATGAACTGAAATAATCTTTTCGGAAAGAAGTCAGATTTAAGACTTAATTTAACATATGGAGGCATAGGTAGCAGGAATTTCTTTAATGAGACACCTTGCTGTTCCATAATTGCGCATATAACTAAAGATATTAAAATATAAGGTAGCATTTTGCAATGTTTGAGAATTATTTTTTCCCTGATCATATTTTCCTAATTTTTAGGCATTAAACTTGTTACAGGTATGTAGATAATAACAAAAAAACAAATCTACAAATATATAACATACTTTTTATTTGTTGTGACTGTATTCACCATACAACTACATCTGTTTTGCATACAGCCATTTGGCAACATAAGGTTGTTTGAGATTACCACACTCCCAATACATATTGTAA